CTGCGTAGCAGGGGAGAAGGTGCCTGGTCACCATCACCAGAGAGGCGGCCTCAGCGAGAGACTGGCAGGTGGGAGGGGCAGAAGCTACATGAGCCGCCGATGCCGCAATGGGGAAGGGTGGGAGAATGGGGAAGGCCAGGGGAAGGGCATCGTGAGTCAGGAGGGAGCCGCCAGGAGGGCAGGACGGAGAGCAGAAGCCTGACGTACGGAGCGGAGCGGGCTCGGGAAGCCAGGGAAGGCATGCGAAGGGCGAGAGAAAGGGGGCCGGAGAGAGGGCGAGCGGGAGGAGACAGTGAGGCATGGGGAGAAGGGCGGGGAGGAGCTAGCAACACCCCGCGCGTAGAAGTGCCCGCCAGGTTCTCGGGCGACCAACGCGGGGGGCCTACCCTCAAGAACTACCTGATGCAGGTGGGGAACGTGCGGTACCGCTGCGACCGCCACAACATGGACCCCGTGGACTTCTTCCTGAGCTTGCCGAACATACTCGAGGGAGAGGCCGAAACGTTGTACCGCATGAGGATGGAGGAACTGCTGTGGAGGGCAGGGAGGTACGAGAGGACCCCACTGCGGCATTCGTGGAGCGGCTGCAGCGGCAGTTCCCGGGGCACACGGCGGAGCGTATAAGGGAATTCCAGGAGTTCATCAGGGGCCGGGCCGAGTCACTGTTGACCTACTACAACCGACTGATCAATCTGGCGGAGGACGTAAGATGCACGGATAACAGTCTTCTCATCAGCAAGTTCCTAGGAGGCTTGGATGAGGCCCTAGGAGGTGGGTTGAGTATGAGGGTGTATGAGTTGGGTGCGGAGGCAAGCCTGGAGGAGGTGTTCGATCTAGCAGAGAGGGTGGAGCTCGTACAGAGGAAGTACGAGGCTTACCTCCCCAGGCCAACGGAGAGAAGTCGTAGGCCTACATGGGCGGCGGCAATAATACCGGAGGGAGGAGGGAGGACGGATGCACGAGGGGAGTCAGGAATTGACACCAGGACATGCCACAGGTGTGGGCAGCCAGGGCATCTGCGGAGGGATTGCAAGAACTGTGACGGATGCGGGAAGCCGGGGCACAGAAAGAGGGAGTGTCCAGATGCCGCCCGGTGTGAAATCTGCAAGAAACGGGGACATGAGGCGAAGGATTCCTACCAGAGAGAAGGGGGGATCAGGCGGCATCCAGAGGAGCTGCAGCGGCAGATTAGTCGGCTACAAGCACAGCTCAGGGTGACCGGGCTGGGAGGGGAGGCAGAGGCATGGATGTACGCTAGAGATGAGGAAGGGAAGGAAGTGGAGCAGGATGTGCAGTGTGCCCTCATGGCCTGGAGAGGAAGGGAAGGAAGTGGAGCAGGATGTGCAGTGTGCCCTCATGGCCTGGAGAGGAAGGGAGGAAATGGGGCTGCGGAGCGGGGGCAAAGATGGCAGGCGGGAGCTGGGAAAGAAGGAACAGGTGAAGGGATAGGAGCTCCCCTCTTCCGTCATTCCCGCTTGCCACCTCGTCGCAGCTGCTGCACGTCCTCCTGCGAACCGAAAGGGGGTAGCGAGAGGGACACAGCGAAGGGTGAGACAGGGATAAGAGAATATTTCACATCTCGCATATGGCAAGGCCAGCGGAAGTCACCCGGATGTGAGATGGGAAGGGGTGGGTCGGCGGAGTCGCTTTCGGGAGTTCTCAAATGCGAATTGAATAAAAAGGGCAGCGGAAAAACGAGGAGGGTTACAGTGGTGTATTTACATGCGAAACGGAAAAGGTTTCCAAGAGTTACGTTGCGAAAGGTATTGAATGCAAGATGAAAAGGGATGTTGGGATAAGGGCAGGCAAGGGGGGTGGGAAAGGGATAAAGAATGAGAAGAGAACAGCTGAAATATACGACGACTCGGAATGCGTGGGAATGCCGGTAACGCAAGGTATCGCATTGCCCGTCGCGGTAACTCGCGACGAGCCCTAGTGACCTATTTAATCGCATTCTCTGTCTCTCCCTCCCGCTACTGTCTGGCGCGCAGCGGCATGTTTCCGATTTTGAAAATTTTGGAGCGATTAAGGCGACTCGAACTGTCGCATTATTGACACGGCGCGCGGGGGGAGGTTCGCGGGCCGTATCAGCATGCGAGAGCCCTTTTGAGGCACCTCAAAAGCCGTACCAGCGCGAATTTCTAGTCGACTAAAAAAGTCACTTCGGGGGGAGGTGCGCGCGGGTCGTACCAGCGTGAGTATTGACTGAGTCGACTCAAACAGTCACCTCAGGGGGAGGTGCGCTCGGGTCGTACCAGCGTGCGAGAACCCGAGTCTTGACGGAGCTTGACGAAGATGAACGACGGCCGTCGATCTCTGATCGACGCCTTCAACTCCTCCATGCGCGCCTCGCGGTGCAGGTCCATCGCGCGCGTCGCTGCCGCCGCGGCGAACACGAGCACGAGAATCGCGAGAGCCGCATCGCTCGGCGCCATCAGCCCGCCGGAATCGCGGATTAAGCGCATACAGACAGAAGTAAGTCTTAGTACCTATGCAGCCACCTGTCTAACAAGAAGAAACCGTAGATTGAAAATTATTAGCAAGGAAAAACTGGGAGACCAGGAAATGGGAGCACAGAAGAGTCTTTGGCAGTCCCCTGGACGCCCCCACGCTCCCTGCGCTCTTCTCACCCCCATCCGCGCACTTTCCCCCGCAGTCTCTGCGCCCCTTTTCCCCGTTCCTTTTCTCCGCCCTTCCCCTACCTCCCACAAGTTCCTTCCACCTTCCCCTCCTCCTCACTTCTCCGCTTCCCCTCGCCTCACCAGTCAGACCACCCCGCTACGGCCTTTGCGGAAATCAAAGCAACGCCACAGCAGTCCTCATGGTGCTGCTCGTCCGTGCTGACAAGGCTCGGAATGACGCATCGCTTGTAACAAATCCGATTATGTATACAGAGTAGATTGCTAGTTTTTACGGCCTACATTCTATAAATCAGCTATTCTCATGTGTTAAACTGGATAGGTCAAATATCCACATAGACATAATATACACGTGATCTTCTCGGACGGCCCACCAATCATGCTGCCAACTCTAAATTCAATCAGATCTGCTCATCTTCTGTCGCAAGGAAGTTTGCTGCCTCCAGCAACCTCATCTCACCACCTGTTTGCGGGTCAAACTGAAGCTTGTAAAACCTGGCAGGCGCAAGGGGAGACCACAAGTCACGCACACATACACTTTCAACAAGTCGCACACACATGGACATGCGACACCGGCAACCATGTTAAGGCACGGAAGACAAGAGTTAACAGGTAGCAACCATTGCCACAGCCGCGCAAAAGCACAGCGACAACTTGCAGCGGCAGAACATGTTGCAGCGGCAGAGCGAGTATAACAGACAAACCCAGAGCTCAACTGACTCTGTTATTCGCACTGTTGCAGTGGTCTTGGCGAGACAGTGAGGGCACGCATGGGCACAACACATATGGGCGCACATGATCAAACACATATGGGCGCACATGATCAAACACATATGGGCGCACACATGGGCAAACACATACCGTCAGGCCCCGGATAGTAGCGCCCCTGGGGGTATAAAAAAACACTGTTTTTTAGGGGGTGCGCTTATAATCGAGGAAATTTATAAGCGCCGGCGTTTATAAAATGGCAAAACGAATTTCTATCTGTTTTACACCAAACTGTAGATCTCGTTCTGCCGATTGTAATCGAGTCGAAAACATATGGGGTCGCGAATCTGATTCTCGCGCAACTTGGCAGGGAGTGATTCCCTGCCAACTCAAACTGACAGAATGACAGCACATGCTGACTAGACGCGCAAAAGTTGAGATCAGTGTGGGAAATCGAGTTTGTAGTTCGTTTCCCTGATAATGTGAAATTCGTTTCTGCATTTCGTCAGGTTTTCAAATGAAAAAAACATGCGCTTATAATAAATCATCTTTTTTTAGGGGGTGGGCTTATAATCGAGGACCGGATATAAGCGCCGTCATCCTTTTATAAGCGCCGGCGCTTATCCGAGGCCTGCGCTTCTATCCGGGGCCTTACGGTATGGGCGCACACATGAGCAAACACATATGGGCGCACACATGAGCAAACACATATGGGCGCACACATGAGCAAACACATATGGGCGCACACATGAGCAAACACATATGGGCGCACACATGAGCAAACACATATGGGCGCACGCATGAGCAAACACATATGGGCGCACGCATGAGCAAACACATATGGGCGCACACATGAGCAAACACATATGGGCACACACATGAGCAAACAAATATGGGCACACACATGAGCAAACACATATGGGCGCACACATGAGCAAACACATATGGGCGCACGCATGAGCACACGCATGAGAACACCCACGGATGGGCTAACGTACGCGCCAGTGCTGCCAACGACGATGACGGTGTTGGCCTCGGCACCAAAGGCAGCGAGCATGCGCGTGTGCACGCCCACCCGGTAGAATGCCAGCGAGCGCTCGTCACTGAAGTACTTGGGGAGGACGCCTGAGAGAGGGGGAGAGGAGGAGTCATGGGGAGGATTCATGGGGAGGTAGGAGGTTAAGGGGTCTGAAGAAAAGGGAGCATCAGACTGAAGACCATCATTAAAGTACCTAGAAGGACTTCTGAGGAGCACACACAGAAAACCCACCACTGAACTGTTGAAAAGGAGGGGAGAAAACACACCCTGAATGGCACCTCTTCTAAACCCTCTCATTGCCCACCTTTCATCAATCCGAACGATGACAGTGCCGACACTGCTCCCCAACAGATCCCATCCTCCTGCCCCCCAAGAAACCAGCACTCAAGTACCCAGCCACTCACAACCCACCTTTCATCAATCCGAACGATGACAGTGCCGACACTGCTCCCCCACCACCCCCTGCCGCCCCTGCCTTCCCCTCGCCGCCCCGCACCCCATTCTCCTGGCCCTGCGCATGCCCCTGGGAGTGGCGGAGTGAGAACACGTGCACGGTGCCTCGGTCGCTGGCGGCCGCCAGGAAGGGAGCCTTGGGGGAGAAGACGAGGCTGTAGATGGCTGCTCTCTCCACTCCCCGGCGCAACTGGTGTGAGGGAGGAAGGGAGCAAGAGCAGGGAACAAGGGCAAGGAGTGACTGGGAGCACGTGCACGGTGCCCCTGTTGCTAAGGAGCAAGAACAGGGAGGGCAGGAGCAAAGGACGCTAAGGGAGGGGGACAGAGGGAACACATGTAAGGTGCCTCCCGTTGCTCGCTGCCACTAGTCAGGGCGAGACTGTAGTTGTCAGCTCTCTCCACTCCCCGGCACAACTGGCAGGAGGAAGGCAAGGAAGGGCAGGAGGGAGGCAAGGAAGGGCAGGAGGGAGGCAAGGAAGGGCAGGAGGGAGGCAAGGAAGGGCAGGAGGGAGGCAAGGAAGGGCAGGAGGGAGGCAAGGAAGGGCAGGAGGGAGGCAAGGAAGGGCAGGAGGGAGGCAAGGAAGGGCAGGAGGGAGGCAAGGAAGGGCAGGAGGGAGGCAAGGAAGGGCAGGAGGGAGGCAAGGAAGGGCAGGTGGGAGGCAAGGAAGGGCAGGTGGGAAGCAAGGAAAGGCAGGGCGAATGGAAGGAGCGGCGGGACAAAAGGTACATTTCCCTAGAGTAGATTTCTGACGCTAGAGACAGGGCGTGTTGGGGAAGAAGGCAGATTGTAGATGTGATGTTTTGAGTCGACTCAGAACACGTGTTGGGGAAGAAGGCAGATTGTACATGTGATGTTTTGAGTCGACTCAGAACACGTGTTGGGGAAGAAGGCAGATTGTAGAAGTGATGTGGACTCCTTCTCACCTCATGCACCTTGCTACCATCAGCCGCGTTGAAACACGCCAAGGAGTGGCATAAACACACCAAGGAGTGGCATGAACACGCCAAGGAGTGGCATGAACACGGCAAGGAGTGGCATGAACACGCCAAGGAGTGGCATGAACACGCCAAGGAGTGGCATGAACACGCCAAGGAGTGGCATGAACACGCCAAGGAGTGGCATGAACACGCCAAGGAGTGGCATGAACACGCCAAGGAGTGGCATGAACACGCCAAGGAGTGGCATGAACACGCCAAGGAGTGGCATGAACACGCCAAGGAGTGGCATGAACACGGCAAGGAGTGGCATGAACACGCCAAGGAGTGGCATGAACACGGCAAGGAGTGGCATGAACACGCCAAGGAGTGGCATGAACACGCCAAGGAGTGGCATGAACACGCCAAGGAGTGGCATGAACACGCCAAGGAGTGGCATGAACACGCCAAGGAGTGGCATGAACACGCCAAGGAGTGGCATGAACACGCCAAGGAGTGGCATGAACACCCCAAGGAGGGGCATGAACACGGCAAGGAGGGGCATGAACACGCCAAGGAGTGGCATGAACACGCCAAGGAGTGGCATGAACATGCCAAGGAGTGGCATGAACACGCCAAGGAGTGGCATGAACACGCCAAGGAGTGGCATGAACACGCCAAGGAGTGGCATGAACACGCCAAGGAGTGGCATGAACACGCCAAGGAGTGGCATGAACACGGCAAGGAGTGGCATGAACACGCCAAGGAGTGGCATGAACACGGCAAGGAGTGGCATGAACACGCCAAGGAGTGGCATGAACACGCCAAGGAGTGGCATGAACACGCCAAGGAGTGGCATGAACACGCCAAGGAGTGGCATGAACACGCCAAGGAGTGGCATGAACACGCCAAGGAGTGGCATGAACACGCCAAGGAGTGGCATGAACACCCCAAGGAGGGGCATGAACACGGCAAGGAGGGGCATGAACACGCCAAGGAGTGGCATGAACACGCCAAGGAGTGGCATGAACACGCCAAGGAGTGGCATGAACACGCCAAGGAGTGGCATGAACACGCCAAGGAGTGGCATGAACACGCCAAGGAGTGGCATGAACACGCCAAGGAGGGGCATGAACACGCCAAGGAGTGGCATGAACACGCCAAGGAGTGGCCTGAACACGGCAAGGAGTGGCATGAACACGGCAAGGAGTGGCATGAACACGGCAAGGAGTGGCATGAACACGGCAAGGAGTGGCATGAACACGGCAAGGAGTGGCATGAACACGCCAAGGAGTGGCATGAACACGCCAACGAGTGGCATGAACACGCCACGGAGTGGCATGAACACGCCACGGAGTGGCATGAACACGCCAAGGAGTGGCATGAACACAGCAAGGAGCGGCATGAACACGGCAAGGAGCGGCATGAACACGCCAAGGAGCGGCATGAACACGCCAAGGAGCGGCATGAACACGCCAAGGAGCGGCATGAACACGCCAAGGAGCGGCATGAACACGCCAAGGAGCGGCATGAACACGCCAAGGAGCGGCATGAACACGCCAAGGAGCGGCATGAACACGGCAAGGAGCGGCATGAACACGGCAAGGAGCGGCATGAACACGGCAAGGAGTGGCATGAACACGGCAAGGAGCGGCATGAACACGGCAAGGAGCGGCATGAACACGCCAAGGAGCGGCATGAACACGCCAAGGAGCGGCATGAACACGCCAAGGAGCGGCATGAACACGCCAAGGAGCGGCATGAACACGCCAAGGAGCGGCATGAACACGCCAAGGAGCGGCATGAACACGGCAAGGAGCGGCATGAACACGGCAAGGAGCGGCATGAACACGGCAAGGAGGGGCATGAACACGCCAAGGAGTGGCATGAACACGCCAAGGAGTGGCATGAACATGCCAAGGAGTGGCATGAACACGCCAAGGAGTGGCATGAACACGCCAAGGAGTGGCATGAACACGCCAAGGAGTGGCATGAACACGCCAAGGAGTGGCATGAACACGCCAAGGAGTGGCATGAACACGGCAAGGAGTGGCATGAACACGCCAAGGAGTGGCATGAACACGGCAAGGAGTGGCATGAACACGCCAAGGAGTGGCATGAACACGCCAAGGAGTGGCATGAACACGCCAAGGAGTGGCATGAACACGCCAAGGAGTGGCATGAACACGCCAAGGAGTGGCATGAACACGCCAAGGAGTGGCATGAACACGCCAAGGAGTGGCATGAACACCCCAAGGAGGGGCATGAACACGGCAAGGAGGGGCATGAACACGCCAAGGAGTGGCATGAACACGCCAAGGAGTGGCATGAACACGCCAAGGAGTGGCATGAACACGCCAAGGAGTGGCATGAACACGCCAAGGAGTGGCATGAACACGCCAAGGAGTGGCATGAACACGCCAAGGAGGGGCATGAACACGCCAAGGAGTGGCATGAACACGCCAAGGAGTGGCCTGAACACGGCAAGGAGTGGCATGAACACGGCAAGGAGTGGCATGAACACGGCAAGGAGTGGCATGAACACGGCAAGGAGTGGCATGAACACGGCAAGGAGTGGCATGAACACGCCAAGGAGTGGCATGAACACGCCAACGAGTGGCATGAACACGCCACGGAGTGGCATGAACACGCCACGGAGTGGCATGAACACGCCAAGGAGTGGCATGAACACAGCAAGGAGCGGCATGAACACGGCAAGGAGCGGCATGAACACGCCAAGGAGCGGCATGAACACGCCAAGGAGCGGCATGAACACGCCAAGGAGCGGCATGAACACGCCAAGGAGCGGCATGAACACGCCAAGGAGCGGCATGAACACGCCAAGGAGCGGCATGAACACGCCAAGGAGCGGCATGAACACGGCAAGGAGCGGCATGAACACGGCAAGGAGCGGCATGAACACGGCAAGGAGTGGCATGAACACGGCAAGGAGCGGCATGAACACGGCAAGGAGCGGCATGAACACGCCAAGGAGCGGCATGAACACGCCAAGGAGCGGCATGAACACGCCAAGGAGCGGCATGAACACGCCAAGGAGCGGCATGAACACGCCAAGGAGCGGCATGAACACGCCAAGGAGCGGCATGAACACGGCAAGGAGCGGCATGAACACGGCAAGGAGCGGCATGAACACGGCAAGGAGCGGCATGAACACGCCAAGGAGCGGCATGAACACGCCAAGGAGCGGCATGAACACGCCAAGGAGCGGCATGAACACGCCAAGGAGCGGCATGAACACGCCAAGGAGCGGCATGAACACGCCAAGGAGCGGCATGAACACGGCAAGGAGCGGCATGAACACGGCAAGGAGTGGCATGAACACGGCAAGGAGTGGCATGAACACGGCAAGGAGTGGCATGAACACGCCAAGGAGTGGCATGAACACGCCAAGGAGTGGCATGAACACGCCAAGGAGTGGCATGAACACACCAAGGAGCGGCATGAACACGTCAAGGAGCGGCATGAACACACCAAGGAGCGGCATGAACACGCCAAGGAGCGGCATGAACACGCCAAGGAGCGGCATGAACACGCCAAGGAGCGGCATGAACACGCCAAGGAGCGGCATGAACACGGCAAGGAGTGGCATGAACACGGCAAGGAGTGGCATGAACACGGCAAGGAGTGGCATGAACACACCAAGGAGTGGCATGAACACGCCAAGGAGTGGCATGAACACGCCAACGAGTGGCATGAACACGCCAAGGAGTGGCATGAACACGCCAACGAGTGGCATGAACACGCCAAGGAGTGGCATGAACACGCCAAGGAGTGGCATGAACACGCCAAGGAGTGGCATGAACACGCCAAGGAGTGGCATGAACACGCCAAGGAGTGGCATGAACACGCCAAGGAGTGGCATGAACACGCCAACGAGTGGCATGAACACGCCAAGGAGTGGCATGAACACGCCAAGGAGTGGCATGAACACGCCAAGGAGTGGCATGAACACGCCAAGGAGTGGCATGAACACGCCAAGGAGTGGCATGAACACGCCAAGGAGTGGCATGAACACGCCAAGGAGTGGCATGAACACGCCAAGGAGTGGCATGAACACGCCAAGGAGTGGCATGAACACCCCAAGGAGGGGCATGAACACGGCAAGGAGGGGCATGAACACGCCAAGGAGTGGCATGAACACGCCAAGGAGTGGCATGAACATGCCAAGGAGTGGCATGAACACGCCAAGGAGTGGCATGAACACGCCAAGGAGTGGCATGAACACGCCAAGGAGTGGCATGAACACGCCAAGGAGTGGCATGAACACGGCAAGGAGTGGCATGAACACGCCAAGGAGTGGCATGAACACGCCAAGGAGTGGCATAAACACGCCAAGGAGTGGCATGAACACGCCAAGGAGGGGCATGAACACGCCAAGGAGTGGCATGAACACGCCAAGGAGTGGCATGAACACGGCAAGGAGTGGCATGAACACGGCAAGGAGTGGCATGAACACGCCAAGGAGTGGCATGAACACGCCAAGGAGTGGCATGAACACGCCAACGAGTGGCATGAACACGCCAACGAGTGGCATGAACACGCCAAGGAGTGGCATGAACACGCCAAGGAGTGGCATGAACACGCCAACGAGTGGCATGAACACGCCAAAGAGTGGCATGAACACGCCAAGGAGTGGCATGAACACCCCAAGGAGGGGCATGAACACGGCAAGGAGGGGCATGAACACGCCAAGGAGTGGCATGAACACGCCAAGGAGTGGCATGAACATGCCAAGGAGTGGCATGAACACGCCAAGGAGTGGCATGAACACGGCAAGGAGTGGCATGAACACGCCAAGGAGTGGCATGAACACGCCAAGGAGTGGCATGAACACGCCAAGGAGTGGCATGAACACGCCAAGGAGTGGCATGAACACGCCAAGGAGTGGCATGAACACGCCAAGGAGTGGCATAAACACGCCAAGGAGTGGCATGAACACGCCAAGGAGTGGCATGAACACGCCAAGGAGTGGCATGAACACGCCAAGGAGTGGCATGAACACGGCAAGGAGTGGCATGAACACGGCAAGGAGTCGCATGAACACGCCAAGGAGTGGCATGAACACGCCAAGGAGTGGCATGAACACGCCAAGGAGTGGCATGAACACGCCAACGAGTGGCATGAACACGCCAAGGAGTGGCATGAACACGCCAAGGAGTGGCATGAACACGCCAAGGAGTGGCATGAACACGGCAAGGAGTGGCATGAACACGGCAAGGAGTGGCATGAACACGGCAAGGAGTGGCATGAACACGGCAAGGAGTGGCATGAACACGCCAAGGAGTGGCATGAACACGCCAAGGAGTGGCATGAACACGCCAAGGAGTTGCATGAACACGCCAAGGAGTGGCATGAACACGCCAAGGAGTGGCATGAACACGGCAAGGAGTGGCATGAACACGCCAAGGAGCGGCATGAACACGCCAAGGAGCGGCATGAACACGCCAAGGAGCGGCATGAACACGCCAAGGAGCGGCATGAACACGCCAAGGAGCGGCATGAACACGCCAAGGAGCGGCATGAACACGCCAAGGAGCGGCATGAACACGCCAAGGAGCGGCATGAACACGGCAAGGAGTGGCATGAACACGGCATGGAGTGGCATGAACACGCCAAGGAGTGGCATGAACACGCCAAGGAGTGGCATGAACACGCCAAGGAGCGGCATGAACACGCCAAGGAGCGGCATGAACACGGCAAGGAGCGGCATGAACACGCCAAGGAGCGGCATGAACACGCCAAGGAGCGGCATGAACACGCCAAGGAGCGGCATGAACACGCCAAGGAGCGGCATGAACACGCCAAGGAGCGGCATGAACACGCCAAGGAGCGGCATGAACACGCCAAGGAGCGGCATGAACACGCCAAGGAGTGGCATGAACACGGCAAGGAGTGGCATGAACACGGCAAGGAGTGGCATGAACACCCCAAGGAGTGGCATGAACACGCCAAGGAGTGGCATGAACACGGCAAGGAGTGGCATGAACACGCCAACGAGTGGCATGAACACGGCAAGGAGTGGCATGAACACGCCAAGGAGTGGCATGAACACGCCAAGGAGTGGCATGAACACGCCAAGGAGTGGCATGAACACGCCAAGGAGTGGCATGAACACGGCAAGGAGTGGCATGAACACGGCAAGGAGTCGCATGAACACGCCAAGGAGTGGCATGAACACGCCAAGGAGTGGCATGAACACGCCAAGGAGTGGCATGAACACGCCAACGAGTGGCATGAACACGCCAAGGAGTGGCATGAACACGCCAAGGAGTGGCATGAACACGCCAAGGAGTGGCATGAACACGGCAAGGAGTGGCATGAACACGGCAAGGAGTGGCATGAACACGGCAAGGAGTGGCATGAACACGGCAAGGAGTGGCATGAACACGCCAAGGAGTGGCATGAACACGCCAAGGAGTGGCATGAACACGCCAAGGAGTTGCATGAACACGCCAAGGAGTGGCATGAACACGCCAAGGAGTGGCATGAACACGGCAAGGAGTGGCATGAACACGCCAAGGAGCGGCATGAACACGCCAAGGAGCGGCATGAACACGCCAAGGAGCGGCATGAACACGCCAAGGAGCGGCATGAACACGCCAAGGAGCGGCATGAACACGCCAAGGAGCGGCATGAACACGCCAAGGAGCGGCATGAACACGCCAAGGAGCGGCATGAACACGGCAAGGAGTGGCATGAACACGGCATCGAGTGGCATGAACACGCCAAGGAGTGGCATGAACACGCCAAGGAGTGGCATGAACACGCCAAGGAGCGGCATGAACACGCCAAGGAGCGGCATGAACACGGCAAGGAGCGGCATGAACACGCCAAGGAGCGGCATGAACACGCCAAGGAGCGGCATGAACACGCCAAGGAGCGGCATGAACACGCCAAGGAGCGGCATGAACACGCCAAGGAGCGGCATGAACACGCCAAGGAGCGGCATGAACACGCCAAGGAGCGGCATGAACACGCCAAGGAGTGGCATGAACACGGCAAGGAGTGGCATGAACACGGCAAGGAGTGGCATGAACACCCCAAGGAGTGGCATGAACACGCCAAGGAGTGGCATGAACACGGCAAGGAGTGGCATGAACACGCCAACGAGTGGCATGAACACGGCAAGGAGTGGCATGAACACGCCAAGGAGTGGCATGAACACGCCAAGGAGTGGCATGAACACGCCAAGGAGTGGCATGAACACGCCAACGAGTGGCATGAACACGCCAAGGAGTGGCATGAACACGCCAAGGAGTGGCATGAACACGCCAACGAGTGGCACGAACACGCCAAAGAGTGGCATGAACACGCCAAGGAGTGGCATGAACACCCCAAGGAGGGGCATGAACACGGCAAGGAGGGGCATGAACACGCCAAGGAGTGGCATGAACACGCCAAGGAGTGGCATGAACACGCCAAGGAGTGGCATGAACACGCCAAGGAGTGGCATGAACACGCCAAGGAGTGGCATGAACACGCCAAGGAGTGGCATGAACACGCCAAGGAGCGGCATGAACACGTCAAGGAGCGGCATGAACACACCAAGGAGCGGCATGAACACGCCAAGGAGCGGCATGAACACGCCAAGGAGCGGCATGAACACGCCAAGGAGCGGCATGAACACGCCAAGGAGCGGCATGAACACGCCAAGGAGTGGCATGAACACGCCAAGGAGTGGCATGAACACGCCAAGGAGTGGCATGAACACGCCAAGGAGTGGCATGAACACGCCAAGGAGTGGCATGAACACCCCAAGGAGGGGCATGAACACGGCAAGGAGGGGCATGAAAACGCCAAGGAGTGGCATGAACACGCCAAGGAGTGGCATGAACATGCCAAGGAGTGGCATGAACACGCCAAGGAGTGGCATGAACACGCCAAGGAGTGGCATGAACACGCCAAGGAGTGGCATGAACACGCCAACGAGTGGCATGAACACGCCAAGGAGTGGCATGAACACGCCAAGGAGTGGCATGAACACGCCAACGAGTGGCACGAACACGCCAAAGAGTGGCATGAACACGCCAAGGAGTGGCATGAACACCCCAAGGAGGGGCATGAACACGGCAAGGAGGGGCATGAACACGCCAAGGAGTGGCATGAACACGCCAAGGAGTGGCATGAACACGCCAAGGAGTGGCATGAACACGCCAAGGAGTGGCATGAACACGCCAAGGAGTGGCATGAACACGCCAAGGAGTGGCATGAACACGCCAAGGAGCGGCATGAACACGTCAAGGAGCGGCATGAACACACCAAGGAGCGGCATGAACACGCCAAGGAGCGGCATGAACACGCCAAGGAGCGGCATGAACACGCCAAGGAGCGGCATGAACACGCCAAGGAGCGGCATGAACACGCCAAGGAGTGGCATGAACACGCCAAGGAGTGGCATGAACACGCCAAGGAGTGGCATGAACACGCCAAGGAGTGGCATGAACACGCCAAGGAGTGGCATGAACACCCCAAGGAGGGGCATGAACACGGCAAGGAGGGGCATGAAAACGCCAAGGAGTGGCATGAACACGCCAAGGAGTGGCATGAACATGCCAAGGAGTGGCATGAACACGCCAAGGAGTGGCATGAACACGCCAAGGAGTGGCATGAACACGCCAAGGAGTGGCATGAACACGCCAAGGAGTGGCATGAACACGCCAAGGAGTGGCATGAACACGCCAAGGAGTGGCATGAACACGCCAAGGAGTGGCATAAACACGCCAAGGAGTGGCATGAACACGCCAAGGAGGGGCATGAACACGCCAAGGAGTGGCATGAACACGCCAAGGAGTGGCATGAACACGGCAAGGAGTGGCATGAACACGGCAAGGAGTGGCATGAACACGGCAAGGAGTGGCATGAACACGCCAAGGAGTGGCATGAACACGCCAAGGAGTGGCATGAACACGCCAACGAGTGGCATGAACACGCCAAGGAGTGGCATGAACACGCCAAGGAGTGGCATGAACACGCCAAGGAGTGGCATGAACACGCCAACGAGTGGCATGAACACGCCAAAGAGTGGCATGAACACGCCAAGGAGTGGCATGAACACCCCAAGGAGGGGCATGAACACGGCAAGGAGGGGCATGAACACGCCAAGGAGTGGCATGAACACGCCAAGGAGTGGCATGAACATGCCAAGGAGTGGCATGAACACGCCAAGGAGTGGCATGAACACGGCAAGGAGTGGCATGAACACGCCAAGGAGTGGCATGAACACGCCAAGGAGTGGCATGAACACGCCAAGGAGTGGCATGAACACGCCAAGGAGTGGCATGAACACGCCAAGGAGTGGCATGAACACGCCAAGGAGTGGCATAAACACGCCAAGGAGTGGCATGAACACGCCAAGGAGTGGCATGAACACGCCAAGGAGTGGCATGAACACGCCAAGGAGTGGCATGAACACGGCAAGGAGTGGCATGAACACGGCAAGGAGTCGCATGAACACGCCAAGGAGTGGCATGAACACGCCAAGGAGTGGCATGAACACGCCAAGGAGTGGCATGAACACGCCAACGAGTGGCATGAACACGCCAAGGAGTGGCATGAACACGCCAAGGAGTGGCATGAACACGCCAAGGAGTGGCATGAACACGGCAAGGAGTGGCATGAACACGGCAAGGAGTGGCAGGAACACGGCAAGGAGTGGCATGAACACGGCAAGGAGTGGCATGAACACGCCAAGGAGTGGCATGAACACGCCAAGGAGTGGCATGAACACGCCAAGGAGTTGCATGAACACGCCAAGGAGTGGCATGAACACGCCAAGGAGTGGCATGAACACGGCAAGGAGTGGCATGAACACGCCAAGGAGCGGCATGAACACGCCAAGGAGTGGCATGAACACGCCAAGGAGTGGCATGAACACGCCAAGGAGTGGCATGAACATGCCAAGGAGTGGCATGAACACGCCAAGGAGTGGCATGAACACGGCAAGGAGTGGCATGAACACGCCAAGGAGTGGCATGAACACGCCAAGGAGTGGCATGAACACGCCAAGGAGTGGCATGAACACGCCAAGGAGTGGCATGAACACGGCAAGGAGTCGCATGAACACGCCAAGGAGTGGCATGAACACGCCAAGGAGTGGCATGAACACGCCAAGGAGTGGCATGAACACGCCAACGAGTGGCATGAACACGCCAAGGAGTGGCATGAACACGCCAAGGAGTGGCATGAACACGCCAAGGAGTGGCATGAACACGGCAAGGAGTGGCATGAACACGGCAAGGAGTGGCAGGAACACGGCAAGGAGTGGCATGAACACGGCAAGGAGTGGCATGAACACGCCAAGGAGTGGCATGAACACGCCAAGGAGTGGCATGAACACGCCAAGGAGTTGCATGAACACGCCAAGGAGTGGCATGAACACGCCAAGGAGTGGCATGAACACGGCAAGGAGTGGCATGAACACGCCAAGGAGCGGCATGAACACGCCAAGGAGTGGCATGAACACGCCAAGGAGTGGCATGAACACGCCAAGGAGTGGCATGAACATGCCAAGGAGTGGCATGAACACGCCAAGGAGTGGCATGAACACGGCAAGGAGTGGCATGAACACGCCAAGGAGTGGCATGAACACGCCAAGGAGTGGCATGAACACGCCAAGGAGTGGCATGAACACGCCAAGGAGTGGCATGAACACGCCAAGGAGTGGCATGAACACGCCAAGGAGTGGCATAAACACGCCAAGGAGTGGCATGAACACGCCAAGGAGTGGCATGAACACGCCAAGGAGTGGCATGAACACGCCAAGGAGTGGCATGAACACGGCAAGGAGTGGCATGAACACGGCAAGGAGTCGCATGAACACGCCAAGGAGTGGCATGAACACGCCAAGGAGTGGCATGAACACGCCAAGGAGTGGCATGAACACGCCAACGAGTGGCATGAACACGCCAAGGAGTGGCATGAACACGCCAAGGAGTGGCATGAACACGCCAAGGAGTGGCATGAACACGGCAAGGAGTGGCATGAACACGGCAAGGAGTGGCAGGAACACGGCAAGGAGTGGCATGAACACGGCAAGGAGTGGCATGAACACGCCAAGGAGTGGCATGAACACGCCAAGGAGTGGCATGAACACGCCAAGGAGTGGCATGAACACGCCAAGGAGTGGCATGAACACGCCAAGGAGTGGCATGAACACGCCAAGGAGTGGCATAAACACGCCAAGGAGTGGCATGAACACGCCAAGGAGTGGCATGAACACGCCAAGGAGTGGCATGAACACGCCAAGGAGTGGCATGAACACGGCAAGGAGTGGCATGAACACGGCAAGGAGTCGCATGAACACGCCAAGGAGTGGCATGAACACGCCAAGGAGTGGCATGAACACGCCAAGGAGTGGCATGAACACGCCAACGAGTGGCATGAACACGCCAAGGAGTGGCATGAACACGCCAAGGAGTGGCATGAACACGCCAAGGAGTGGCATGAACACGGCAAGGAGTGGCATGAACACGGCAAGGAGTGGCAGGAACACGGCAAGGAGTGGCATGAACACGGCAAGGAGTGGCATGAACACGCCAAGGAGTGGCATGAACACGCCAAGGAGTGGCATGAACACGCCAAGGAGTTGCATGAACACGCCAAGGAGTGGCATGAACACGCCAAGGAGTGGCATGAACACGGCAAGGAGTGGCATGAACACGCCAAGGAGCGGCATGAACACGCCAAGGAGCGGCATGAACACGCCAAGGAGCGGCATGAACACGCCAAGGAGCGGCATGAACACGCCAAGGAGCGGCATGAACACGCCAAGGAGCGGCATGAACACGCCAAGGAGCGGCATGAACACGCCAAGGAGCGGCATGAACACGGCAAGGAGTGGCATGAACACGGCATGGAGTGGCATGAACACGCCAAGGAGTGGCATGAACACGCCAAGGAGTGGCATGAACACGCCAAGGAGCGGCATGAACACGCCAAGGAGCGGCATGAACACGGCAAGGAGCGGCATGAACACGCCAAGGAGCGGCATGAACACGCCAAGGAGCGGCATGAACACGCCAAGGAGCGGCATGAACACGCCAAGGAGCGGCATGAACACGCCAAGGAGCGGCATGAACACGCCAAGGAGCGGCATGAACACGCCAAGGAGCGGCATGAACACGCCAAGGAGTGGCATGAACACGGCAAGGAGTGGCATGAACACGGCAAGGAGTGGCATGAACACCCCAAGGAGTGGCATGAACACGCCAAGGAGTGGCATGAACACGGCAAGGAGTGGCATGAACACGCCAACGAGTGGCATGAACACGGCAAGGAGTGGCATGAACACGCCAAGGAGTGGCATGAACACGCCAAGGAGTGGCATGAACACGCCAAGGAGTGGCATGAACACGCCAAGGAGTGGCATGAACACGCCAACGAGTGGCATGAACACGCCAAGGAGTGGCATGAACACGCCAAGGAGTGGCATGAACACGCCAAGGAGCGGCATGAACACGCCAAGGAGCGGCATGAACACGCCAAGGAGCGGCATGAACACGCCAAGGAGCGGCATGAACACGCCAAGGAGCGGCATGAACACGCCAAGGAGCGGCATGAACACGCCAAGGAGCGGCATGAACACGCCAAGGAGCGGCATGAACACGGCAAGGAGTGGCATGAACACGGCATGGAGTGGCATGAACACGCCAAGGAGTGGCATGAACACGCCAAGGAGTGGCATGAACACGCCAAGGAGCGGCATGAACACGCCAAGGAGCGGCATGAACACGGCAAGGAGCGGCATGAACACGCCAAGGAGCGGCATGAACACGCCAAGGAGCGGCATGAACACGCCAAGGAGCGGCATGAACACGCCAAGGAGCGGCATGAACACGCCAAGGAGCGGCATGAACACGCCAAGGAGCGGCATGAACACGCCAAGGAGCGGCATGAACACGCCAAGGAGTGGCATGAACACGGCAAGGAGTGGCATGAACACGGCAAGGAGTGGCATGAACACCCAAGGAGTGGCATGAACACGCCAAGGAGTGGCATGAACACGGCAAGGAGTGGCATGAACACGCCAACGAGTGGCATGAACACGGCAAGGAGTGGCATGAACACGCCAAGGAGTGGCATGAACACGCCAAGGAGTGGCATGAACACGCCAAGGAGTGGCATGAACACGCCAACGAGTGGCATGAACACGCCAAGGAGTGGCATGAACACGCCAAGGAGTGGCATGAACACGCCAACGAGTGGCATGAACACGCCAAAGAGTGGCATGAACACGCCAAGGAGTGGCATGAACACCCCAAGGAGGGGCATGAACACGGCAAGGAGGGGCATGAACACGCCAAGGAGTGGCATGAACACGCCAAGGAGTGGCATGAACACGCCAAGGAGTGGCATGAACACGCCAAGGAGTGGCATGAACACGCCAAGGAGTGGCATGAACACGCCAAGGAGTGGCATGAACACGCCAAGGAGTGGCATGAACACGCCAAGGAGTGGCATGAACACGCCAAGGAGTGGCATGAACACGGCAAGGAGTGGCATGAACACGCCAACGAGTGACATGAACACGCCAAGGAGTGGCATGAACACGCCAAGGAGTGGCATGAACACGCCAAGGAGTGGCATGAACACGCCAAGGAGTGGCATGAACATGGCAAGGAGTGGCATGAACACGCCAAGGAGCGGCATGAACACGCCAAGGAGGGGCATGAACACGCCAAGGAGTGGCATGAAGACGCCAAGGAGTGGCATGAACACGCCAAGGAGTGGCATGAACACGCCAAGGAGTGGCATGAACACGGCAAGGAGCGGCATGAACACGCCAAGGAGTGGCATGAACACGCCAAGGAGTGGCATGAACACGCCAAGGAGGGGCATGAACACGGCAAGGAGTGGCATGAACAGTTGGTGGCGAGCCGCTGCCCTTGCTGCTCCTGCTGGCCGTGGCGAGCCGCTGCCCGTCCAGGGAGAGATCGGTTGAGCAGGAGAGAACACACCCACCCAGAACGCACATGAACGCACACATGCCGCACAGCACATAAATACTGCTCACCTCGTGCAGCTTCATTCTATCAGCCGTGTTGAACACTCTGATCAGCGTGCGACCCCTTCCTGCTGATCAGCGTGCGACCCCTTGCTGCTGGCCGTGACCAGTTGGTGTCTGCCCCAGGAACCAGCACTCCCCCCACTGCTCACCTCGTGCAGCTTGCTCCCATCCGCCGTGTTGAACACGCGGATGAGCGTCCCCTTGCTGCTCGCCGTGGCCAGGCGCTGCCCATCCAGCGAGAGCGCGATGCAGGCAGGCTCCGAGTCATGCGCCGCAATGAAGTGCGTGCGTCGCTGGTCGAATAGCTCAATGCGGATCTAAGTGGTAAGAACGGGAGAGTGGGCGGTGGAGGAGAGGGAGTGGAGGGGAAGGGAGTCGGGGGAGCAAGCTGATGGACCGAGAAAGATGCAGGCGGGCTCCGAGTCGTGCGCAGCTATGAAGTGCGTCCGGCGCTGGTCGAATAGCTCCACACGGATCTAATGGGGAAAGGGGGGGATATGTTCAAAAACAAGACATGGTAAGAGGGGTGCGTCCACAGAGTGAGAAAAATGCATGCAGGCTCCGAGCTGTGCGCTGCTGTGAAGGTCCTGATCAAACAGCCCCACATGGATCTGAATGGGAAGTGGGGAGGGGGGGGGGGGGGGTAAGTGCATGCTCAAAAGTGAGACATAGTTCACGAGGACAGAGCGAAGTTCTCAATTCATACCGTTCAGACCCGATCCTTAAGTGTGGACCACCTGTTAGCTCTCACTCAACTCACCGTGTTGTAAATGTATATTATATACAACATACATAGGCTATAATAGGTGTAGTCCTTTATGTTCTTGGGGTGTTGGGTGTACACTCCAACCACACTTTGTGGTTGGTCAAGGTGGGATTTGGTCATGGTCCTTGGTTGGCACTTGCCAACTTTTGGTCCTTAGGCCAAACCAATCCCAACCTAGCCACATTGTGAGGTTTCCTACTCCACAAGGCACCTCACTCATTGGCCAACTTAGTGGCCAATAGGGTTAGCTCCTCCTCCACTCTTCTCTTCCTTGCATGCTTGTATTATAGAGCCTTGGTGGCTCATTACTAGATATACTCTTGAATTCTATCATGGTATCTAGAGCCAAATGGCTCACGCCGTCCTCTCTCGATCCTTAGACTGTTTGTTACTCCCCGCTCCTCTACCCTAGCGGATTATGCCATACATCCTCCCTCCCGCACCTCAGATCTAGCCTTCCGCGGCTCAGTACCGCCCTCCCGCACCTCAGATCTAGCCTTCCGCGGCTCAGATCTACTCCTCCGCGTCCTCAATCCTCCCTCCCACGACCCTAATCCTCCCTCCCGCGGCTCTGCCCGCCGTCGCGGACGACCGACGCGCCGTCGCGGGCGACCGACGCGCCGTCGCGGACGACCGACGCGCCGTCGCGGACGACCGACGCACCGTCGCGGACGACCTACGCTGTGAGGATCTAGGATCGAGCTCAGAAAAGAGAATGTGAATTGAATCGAATTGAATGATCACCTGGGTACAACACGAGGCTATATATAGGCTCGACACAAGGCCCCGTAACCAGGTGTTACGCGAAGGTTCCGCGGGTCGCGAAGCGTCCCGAACAGATCCTTACCGAATTCGGTAGAAGGCAATTCGGTGGCAACCGAAAAGCCAGAATTCGGTGCACGCAACCTAGCTCGGTGCTATAACTATAATAAAATATAGGAAAGCACCTAGCCTAGGAAATCAAGCAATTCATGCATGCATATGATTATCGTATGCTAGAAATAGCATGATAAATTAAAGGCAAGCAAGCATAGCTGGCATAAGCCGTCTTACTCTCACATACGCGCCGACGCGGACGGTCAGCGCGCAGCCACCAGCGACCTACGCGCCGACGCGGACGGTCAGCGCGCTGTCGCCAGCGACCTGCGCGCCGACGCGGCCGGCCAGCGCGCAACCGCCGACGACCCGCGTGCTGACGCGGACGGACAGCGCGTGACCGCCGACGACCCGCGCGCTGACGTAGACGGCCAGCGCGCGACCGCCGACGAGCCGCGTGCTGCCGCGGAAGGCCAGCGCGCGGCCACGACCGAACCGCGCGCCAACGCGGACGGCCAGCGCGCGGCCGTCGACGGCCCTGCGCCGACGCGGACGGCTGGCGCGGAGCCGCGGCTGACCTGCGCGCCGTCGCGTTCGGCTGCCCGCGATCTCCACGACCCCGCAACCCTAATCCTCCCTCCCCCCCCCCCCTATCTTGCCCTACACCCGCGCCCCTCCCCACACTTCCGCACCAGCCTCTCCCCCCCCCCCCCCCTACCTCCTCCCCCTACTCCACCCTTAACGGCACCAGCAGCAGCAGCAGCGGCTCCAGCGGCAGCTCCAGCAGCAGCACCGGCAGCAGCATCAGCGGCGGCAGCAGCAGCAGCATCGGCGGCGGCAGCAGCAGCAGCATCGGCGGCGGCAGCAGCAGCAGCATCGGCGGCGGCAGCAGCAGCGGCACCGGTAGCGGCAGCAGCAGCGGCACCAGCACCGGCAGCAGCGGCATCAGAAGCGTCGCCTTCACCACTCCGCCGTCATGACGTCGTCGGACTCATCGGTCGATCTAGCGACCATTGACGCTCTCGAGCTGCTGGGCGACAACTCGGCCGCCAACTGGCACTCCTATGCTCACTCCGTCGAGGTGTTGCTCTCCTCGGTCATCGTCAGCGGATATACCCTTCGCTCCGTCGTGTTCCAGGAGGAGGGTGGACTTCAGCCCATCGCCCCTTCCGCCCCCACTGGACCTGCTCCCGATGAGCCCGGACCCGAGCCCGAGCCTCCTGGTGACCCCCCCTCCTTCGCGCCGGATGTTCACAACCCACAAAGCGTGGAGTCTGCCATTCGTGCCTATCGCACCTCACTTAACGACCACCTTCGCCGCCAACTGCGCTACGACGATGACAAGCGCATCTACGACATTGCTGCTGCCCGCCACCGTGAATACCAAGCCCAGTTCGCCACTTACACTACACGCCTCGCCACCTACACCACTGATATCGCAGCGTGGCGCGTTGCTGATCGTCGCGCCCTTGCTATCCTCCTCGCCACCATCCCCTCCTCTCTCAAACGAGAGCTCTCCCCCACCTCCTCCTCCCACCTGTGGCAACTGTTAGTCGACCTCTTTGACCGACAGGACATCGCCACTCTCTATGCACTCATTAAGGAATTCGGATCCATCACCATGGACTCCACCGCCGGCGCAGCTGCCTTCACTCGCCGAGTCCTTGACCTCGCTCGCCGCCTTGCAGCGCTCGGTGTTGTCTACCCTGACACCATCATCTGCTGCCACCTTCTCGAGGGTCTCACTCCTGCCTTCGATGCCCATAAGCTGGCATACATGCAGCTCCTCTCCAAGCATGACACTCCCGCTCAAGTTGCGCAATGGATCATCACCACTGAAGCTGAAATCCTGCGCCACTCCTCCTCCACTGCCGCAGCGGCACAGCAGCGCAGCAGCAAAAGCGGGCGTGGGGGGGGGCCGTGGAGGTGGGCGTGGTGGTGGTCGAGGCGGCTCTGGCGGTCGTGGTGGTGCGGGTCGTGGTGCAGCAGCGGCCTTCCCACCCTGTCAGTATCTTCCCCTCTATGGCCCCACCCGAGGCCAACGCTGCAATCAAACCACTCATGCGACTGAGACGTGCTTCAAGGCACTCAGCAATGAGTGGTTCCCTCGCGGGAACTCTGGCACCCCTCCTCGCTGGTCCGCCCTCAACCCCCGCCCCACTCCCCTGGATGTCCGCACCTCCCCCCTTTACGCCCCTTCCTCCTCCTCCCAGGCCTACCAGGCCTTTGCTCTCCCCTCTCACCAGCAGCAGCAGCAGCAGCAGCAGCAGCACCAGAGTGTCCAGCAGCAGGGGCCGCAGCAGTACGGACAGCAGCTTTATCAGCTCCAGCAGCAGCTTCAGCAGCTCCAGCAGCAGCTCGACCTCCAACCCCAGCTTCCTCTCCTCCCTCCTCCTGTCCCCCAGCAGCAGCCGTTCCCCAGCTGGACCGCCGGGAATGCGGCCTCCGCAGCCCACCTCTCCGGTCCATCCCCTGCGCCGTCTACAGGTGGCAGTGTGACCCCCTTTCCCTCCTCAGGCTTTGTTGGTCTGCTTAGTCAGCCTCCTTCTGTTGCATCCCCTATGTATGCCCCTGCTATTAATGACACTTCAATTCAGTACTCCGCCTCACCCTCCTCCACCCTTGAGTTCGTCTTGGACAGTGGAGCCACTGACAATGTCTTTCGCGATGCCGGCAAACTCCATCCTCTCCCCACACCCACGTCCCTCCTCGGCGCTGATAGCAGCTTTTCCATCCCCTGTCACAACACGTCCACCCTTCCCTGTCCTCTCTTTCCCTCAGGTACGGTCACAGGTCTTCACATTCCCTCCCTTCGCACCAACCTCCTCTCCCAAAGGTCCCTCCAACAATCCATGATCACCACTGTCACCCCAGGTGGTGCTAACCATTGTGACCTTTACCAAACCTCCACAGGTCGCTTCCTCTCCCGCATTCCCTACTGTCCCCGCTCCCGTCTGTACACCCTTCGGGTTCCTCGCCTCCTCACCTTCCAAGTTGCCTCCCCCCCCGTCCTTCCCCCCCCTCCCACCCTCCCTCCCACTAACCCACCCGTCCCCCCCCGCCCCCCTGACTCTGACTGCTCATGTCGCTCCCTCTCCCACCCTGCCATCCTCCTCCATCACAGGCTAGGTCACCCCAACTTCGCCACTCTGCGCTCCTCTGTATCCTCCGGTCTCCTCCACGGTCTCCCCTCCTCCCTCCCTCCCCTCCCAAAGTCCCCTGCCCCCCCTTGCGTCGTCTGTGTTCAGAGCAAGCTCAAGCAGCAGCCGCACCGGAGCTCCCCCTCCACTGCTGCCCAGCCACTTGATCTTGTTCACATGGACCTCTGGGGCCCTAACCCCTCCCCCACACGCCAAGGCCATCGCTACCTTCTCGTGCTCGTCGATGACCACAGTCGGTACTCGTCCGTCTCTCTCCTTCGGACGAAGGCGGACGCCCCGACTGCGATCATTGCCTGGCTCGAACAGGCAAACACCCACTTTGGGCGCCCTGTTCGCCGCCTTCACTCTGATGGTGGTGGTGAGTTCCTTAATAACCAGATCTCCTCCTATTGCCAATCCCGCGGCATTCTTCAGACTTACACCCTCCCTCACTCCCCACAGCAGAACGGTGTCGCTGAGAGCCGTGTTCGGGAGATCACCAAAACGGCCCGGTGTCTTCTTGTCCACGCCTCATGCCCCCCTTCTCTGTGGGGCTACGCCCTCCTTCATGCCGCCCTCCTTACTAACCTTTACCCTCACCCCCTCCTCCCCTCCACCACCCCCACTGAGCTATGGACAAAGGACAAACCCGATGTCTCTCCTCTTCGAGTCTGGGGCTCCAAGGCATATGTCCTCATTCACCCGTCTGACCGATCCCGTTCCCTGGGGAAGCCTGCCCCTCGTACCCTTCCTTGCATCTTCCTTGGTCATCACCCCTCTTCCCCCGACCATCTTTTCCTCCACCCCCCTTCCGGTCGACTAATTCGCAGCAGAGATGTTGTCTTTGACGAATCCACCTCGTACTATTCCTCTCCTCCGTCCACTGACCCACTCCCCCCTCTGACTCGTCCCCTTGTCTGGTCTGACACCACCCCTCCCCCTCTCCTCCCTCCTCCCCCCATCCTCCCACCCCCTCCCCCTCCGCCCTCCCCGTCCCACGGTGCCCCCCCCTCGTCTGGTGACATTTTTGACCCGGACCCCCTGTCTTCCCCTGTCTCCCCCGCTCACTCCTCTCCTGGTGCCCCTCCTCCCCCTCCCTCCCAACCCTCACCTCCCTCCCCACTCCCCGCACCATCCTCACCCGGTATCCTCACACCAGGTCACGTGACAGTATCCTTGGTGCACCGCCCCCTGTTGCCCTCTCTACCTCTACCCTCCCCCCTCTTTCCCCCCTCCTTCACCACTTCTTCCAGGCTGTCTTGCATCAAGCCCCTCATGCACCAGCCCCCTCAACCACCTCTCTGGCAGCAGCAGCAGCAGCTCCAGCAGCAGCCACCGCAGCGGCACCAGCAGCGGCAAGTGCAGCGGCGGCCCCGTTGGCATCAGCAGCGGCACCAGCAGCGGCAGTAGCGGCATCCGCAGCGGCACCAGCAGCGGCATCCGCACCAGCACCAGCAGCGACACCAGCAGCGGCACCAGCAGCGACACCAGCAGCGGCACCAACAGCGGCACCAGCAGCAGTGCGTGACGCGGCACCTGCGGTCATCCGCGCCTTCCACACCTCTCTCTCCGAGGACTCCCATGAGGAGTTTCTTGACCTCCACCTCTCTGACCCCTCCCTCCTCCCCATCACCTTTGACCTCTCTAGAACACAAGTCTTCGCCTTTTCCTCTGCTCCCTCCATCTTCATCCCAACCACGTATGAGGAGGCCATGGCTTGCCCCGACGCCCCGCTCTGGCTCGCCGCCATCATCAAGGAGCTCGAGGCATTTATCGCCAACTCCTCCTTCGTTGATGTGCCTCGCCCTCCCTCCTTTACGAATGTGGTGAAGGGGAAGTGGGTGTTTCGCGTCAAACAGCTACCAGGAGAGCCGCCTGTCTACAAGGCCCGGTATTGCGCCAAGGGTTTCACGCAGCGGTATGGCTTTGACTTCTTCGACACCTTCTCCCCCACTGCCAAGCCAGCTACCGTTCGCGCCGTACTCGACTTCGCCGCTCGCCTCAACATGGAGATCCACTCGATGGATGTCTCCAACGCCTTCCTGCAAGGCGTGCTACGTGAACTGATCTACATGGAGCGCCCAGCGGGCTTCCACCTCCCCTTCCCCGCCGACTCCGTCTGGCAGCTGCGCCGCCCAGTGTACGGGCTCCGCCAGGCACCCAGGGAATGGCATGCCAAGCTTGCTGCCACCCTTGCCGAGCTAGGGTTTCGCACCTCCCGCTCGGACGCCAGCCTCTTCCTACGCACCTCCCCCTCCCCCTTCTACATCCTCGTCTATGTTGACGATATGATTCTCCTCACTGCCGATCTTGCCGAGCGCGAGAGTGTCAAGACGGAGCTGGGTAGCCGTCTCAAGTGCAAAGACCTGGGCGAGCTGCAGCACTACCTCGGCATGACCATCACTCACGACCGCTCCTCCCGCACCATCTCTCTCTCTCAGGGTCACTACCTCCAGCAAGTTTTGGACCGGTTTGAAATGGCGCGAGGCAACCCCCAGCCCACTCCCCTCTCGGTTGGGCACCACCTCTCCCCACCCTCCTCCCCCTCTCCCTCTTCCCATCCTTATCCTGAACTCATCGGCTCTCTCATGTACGCCATGGTTTCAACTCGCCCTGACCTTGCCTACCCCATCAGTGTCCTAGCTCGGTTCGTTGGCGCTGGCAAGCATACGGAAGAGCACTGGCAGGCCGCCAAGCGCGTCCTTCGCTACGTTCGTGGCACCAAGGACTATGTCCTTACCCTTGGCGGCCCTTCCCCACCCCTCCTCAGCGGCTACAGCGACTCTTCCTGGGCTGATTCCCGACCGGATCTGCGATCCTCTCAAGGTTATGGTTTCTCTCTGGGCAGCGGTCTTATCAGCTGGCGGTCCACACGCTCCTCTGCCGTCGCCCTCTCCTCCTGCGAAGCAGAGCTCTACGCTGCAACCATGGCCGCGCAAGAAGCACGCTGGCTCACCTTCCTCCTTGATGAGCTTGAAGCCCCCCAGCGCTGTCCCACCATCTGGTGTGACAACGCCAGCACCATCCACCTCACCAAGGATGCTGTGTATCATGGGCGCTCCAAACACATTGAGCTTCGCTACTTCTTCATTCGTGATCTCGTCGAGGCCGGGCACCTTCGCCTTGGCAAAATTGACTCGGCGGCCAACCTCGCCGACATCTTCACCAAGGCTCTTCCCCAAGCGTCCCACTCCTTCCTTCTCCGTCTCCTTGGCCTCACCCCTCCTCCGGCTCTGGTAGCCTCCTGATTACATCTTCTAGCCTTATGCATGTTGGGGGGTTGTGTTGTAAATGTATATTATATACAACATACATAGGCTATAATAAGTGTAGTCCTTTATGTTCTTGGGGTGTTGGGTGTACACTCCAACCACACTTTGTGGTTGGTCAAGATGGGATTTGGTCATGGTCCTTGGTTGGCACTTGCCAACTTTTGGTCCTTAGGCCAAACCAATCGCAACCTAGCCACATTGTGAGGTTTCCTACTCCACAAGGCACCTCACTCATTGGCCAACTTAGTGGCCAATAGGGTTAGCTCCTCCTCCACTCTTCTCTTCCTTGCATGCTTGTATTATAGAGCCTTGGTGGCTCATTACTAGATATACTCTTGAATTCTATCACACCGTCCTTACCAGCCTATCATTTTGCCATACTAACAGTCACTTAAGAAGCACGGTATCATCTTCCGTCCTTAAGCCGGTTTTACGTTGTATCGATCTCTAGTGTATTCATGACGGCATTTAAGACTTGTTAGCATCGCTTGGAAAGTTGAGCCTCACTGTTTGCTACGCATTAACTGATCTGACTGACGAATTCTCATCCCTGAGCAGCTTGCACAGCCAGAGAATGTGCGATTGCCGACTTGCAGTCCTGCCAACAAACATTGGGAGCTGGTCGTGCTGAAGAGATTGGCGCTGACGGACCTACCACACACAGGTCTCCCCAACTCTTTCAGCCAGCTCTCGTCTCTGGAGTCCGTTTATGTGGTTCGATGGATGATTCGTTAACTTACTTCCGGATTCACTTCCCTGAGCAGCTTGCACAGCCTGACGATCTGCGATTCCCAGCTTGCTATTTCGCCAGTGAATTTTGGGGAGCAACCGTCCTGAAGAGATTGACGCTGGCGGACCTACCAGCGCCAATCTCTTCAGGGCGGCCACCTCACCAAAGTTTGCTGGCATGACAACAAATCGAGAATCGTAGATCGTCAGGCTGTGCAAACTGCTCAATGAAGTGAATCCAGGAGGAAGCTTGCGGATCTTCCATCGAACCACATAAAAGGACTCCGGACACGAAAGCTGGTTGAAAGCGTCGGTGAGACCTACGAGTGGTAAGTCCGCCGGCGCTAACCTCTTCTGGACGGCCAACTCCCCAATGTTTGCTGGCAGAACAGCAAGTCGGCAATCGCAGATCCTCAGGCTGTGCAAGCTGCTCAGGAATGCGAATTCGTCAGTCAGATCTGTAAACACGTACCACGCAATGAGGCTAAGCCATTCAACTGATGGTAGTAAGCTTTAGATCCCAACCCACCCACTATCCATCCCAACTTACTTACCATGTGTCCCAACTAGAGATGAGCACTCGTGTTACCGAACATGTTTGTGTTTGGCCAAACACAAACCGGTGGAGGGGGTGTTCGGTGTTTGCGAAACATCTTCGTGTTCGCCTGTAGGCAACCTTCATTATAGTCACATGGTGTAGGGATGGTGGATGTTCGTGTCCAGGGTGGTGTAATATACCTCGTGGACGTTTAGGAGTGGAGGGTTTGAAACACCAACGGATCCACCAAACCATTGTAGTCTAGGCAGTGGGAGGGGGGTTAGGCAAAAGTCGAGTATAGGAAATAGCTCAACTGTGTCAACCCGTTCACCTAAACTAAGGATTGAGGGACTTTACCGATGAACACGTTTGTGTTTGTTGCGACCACGAACGTGTTCGTGTTCGGCGCGGCTCGACTAGCTGCGGCGAACCGAACACGAACATGTTTTGGCAAACACAAACATGTCCGCCCCGAACACTTTGGGCAAAAAAAAGAAAAACGTGTTCGGTTCGCCTCGCCCTTGTGCTCATGTCTAATCCCAACTCACCGACCATCCATCCCAACTCACCCACCATCCATCCCAACTCACCCACCATCCATCCCAACTCCCATTCATCCCATCACCTCATCATCCCACCTGCTGCCGGTGCTTGCCAGGGCACGCCATAACGAAACTGTTGGGCGACTGGGACACCTCGCACAGCCCTCTGGGGTTGGACAGCGTCTCCACCTGGTGAGCGTGGGGGGCCAGTGTCATGCAGGTAAGAGAGGGTGGGGAATCAACAGATTGGGACACCTTGCACAGCCCTCCGGGGGTTGAACAGTGCCTCAACCTGCCATATGTGGGCGGCAGACAGGGCGGCAGACAGGGTGGCACAGGGTGGCAGACAGGGTGGCAGACAGGGTGGCAGACAGGGCGGCAGACAGGGTGGCAGCAAGGTGCAAAAAAACGGCCGAAATTTTGAAATTCTGGTGTATAAAACGCCCTCGTAATTTTCGGCCGTTTAAAACGGTTTAAAACGCCAAAATGTTGTAATTTCAATGTGGTGCAAAAAAACGGCGTTTTTAACGGTTGAAATCTTGAAACCAACCGGTGTACACATATTTTCAACTATTGTTTCCAATCATGACCCTCGATTGGATGAACTAGCCATGCGGAAGACCAAGGGGATTTATCTGTGAGACTGTACAACAGTGAATTTGGGGAGGAGGATGAAGAGTGTGAGGGGGAGGAGGAGGAGGAGGGTTAAATGAGCGCACCCTAGACACTTTGCTAGCATTGTATTGCTTCTTTGCTATCCTGGTCAGGAGTGGAGTCGTTTCTACAGTTTTCAAAAAAAAAAAAAAAAAAGTCACAAAATTCTCTAACAAAAAAACGGCAGAAATTTTGAAATCTGACCGTAAAATACAAGCATAAAAAACGGAGCGTATTTTACTATTGCCGAAATTTTGCACCTTGGGTGGCAGACATGGTGGCAGACAGGGCGGCAGACAGGGCGGCAGACAGGGTGGCAGACAGGGTGGCAGACATGGTGGCAGACAGGGTGGCAGACAGGGTGGCAGACAGGGTGGCAGACAGGGTGGCAGACAGGGCGGCAGACAGGGTGGCAGACAGGGTGGCAGACAGGGTGGCAGACAGGGCGGCAGACATGGTGGCAGACAGGGTGGCAGACAGGGTGGCAGACAGGGTGGCAGACAGGGCGGCAGACATGGTGGCAGACACAGGTCCACAGGTATGATGAGGATAGTCAACGCTCAGCGGCGACAAGACTGAGACACCTCGCACAGCCTCCCCGGGGGTTTGACGGCGTTTTCCAGGGGTTTGACGCACACCAGATATGGTGTGCGTGGGAGACGGTGAGATGCACACAGATGGGTGTGATGGGGATGATACCACGAGCGATGCCCACGCACAACGGTAGCAGGCCTGAGACACCTTACACAGCCCTCAGGTATTCTACAGCCCTAAGCATCACGTGGTGCAGGCATCACTTGGTGCAGGCATCACTTGGTGCAGGCATCACTTGGTGCACGTTGATAGGGATGAGCAAATGGCGAACACGAACATGTTCGTGTTCGCCTGGGCTCGAACATGGCCGTTCAGCGAACCGAACAGTGTTCGGTTCGCCGAACACTTTACACCAGAAAGGGTGTTCGAAGTTCGCCAAGAGAGGCGAACATTTCGAACGTTTTGGCGAACACGAACACGTTCGCCCAGAACATGTTCGCGTTCGCCTTAAAGGACCTTCTTAGATCCAAGTAGAGTGAAATCCAAATGTTTCACATTCCCTCCCCCCACCCCCCAAGGCAGTCCCGCCCTGCTTCATCCATACTAGTGCCAGCGTGTGACAGCGAAAGGCTAGATCTGCACTTAAGCAACGGCGAAATGCTAGATCTACGCTTAAGCAACGGCGAAATGCTAGATCTGAGCTTAAGCAACGGCGAAATGCTTGATCCGCACTTAAGCAACGGCGAAATGCTAGATCTATACTTAAGCAACGGCGAAATGCCTTGATCCGCACTTAAGCAGTGGCGAAATGCCTTGATCTGAGCCCAAACACCAAGGCCCGCGACCTAAAAATTGGTCGCGGGCCTATTCGTCGACGAACACCAATGTGTTCGTCGAAGGCCCGTGTCGAACACGAACACGTTCGTGTTCGACGCGCCTCGGCCAGCTGAGCCGGGCGAACGGCGAACGTGTTCGGGCGAACACCGAACACGTTCGCCCCGAACAATTTAGGCCAAAAAAAAATCCTGTTCGGTTCGCCTCGAACACGTTCGAGGCGAACCGAACAGGTGTTCGTCATATTGCTCATCCCTACACGTTGATGCGTTACCTGCTGCAGGTCCCACCTGGTGCAGCAGCTTCAGGTCAGCGAAATTATAGACATAGACCTTATGCTCCAGCACCACAATGCGGTCCCCTCCTCAGCCCTGTGCTCTGAGGTGTTACCTGGTGCAGGTCTTATCTGGTGCAGCCTCATGCAGCTCTACCAACCTGGTGCAGCAGCTTCAAGTTGGTGAAGTTGTAGACATAGACCTTACGCTCCACAACCACCACAACGCGGTCCCTCCTCAGCCCTGTGCTCTGAGACATTACCTGGTGCACGCGCGTTGAGTGCGTTACCTGGTGAAGCAGCTTCAGGTCTGCAAAGTTATAGACGTAGACCTTATGCTCCAGCACCACCACAATGCGGTCCCTCCTCAGCCGCACGCCCCTCACTTCGCTGCGGAAGGTGAGCTCGCCGATGCACCGGCTGTGAGAGTCGTCCCAAATCATGGCCTGAGGAAGGGAATCGTGGGGGGAAGAGTGGAAGACGAGCGTTGACTTGGCTGTCGGGGATCCCCATCGACCCACTTCACTGCGGAGAGCCTGCTCGCCGATGCACCAGCTGTGACTGTCGTCCCGGATCATGGCCTGACAAAACGAGGGAAAGCGAAAGGACGGCGGAAGGAAAAGGGTGAGAAGAGAAGGATCATGGCCGGCTGCATTGGTCGGCATCAAGCACCTCGTGTGCACCAGTCAGCCCACCATTGCACCGGCTGTGAGAGTCGTCGCCCTCGTCCTTCGGCCTGATGATGGGGTTGGGGTAAAGAGAGTGGGGGACGGAGAGGAGGGAAGCCAGGGAAAGGGACGTGAAGAAGATCCGCTCACCAATGCACCGGCTGCGGCTGCCGTCCCTCCCAGCTCATTGCCTTTTGCAGGAGAGGGTGCGGAAGGAGGGGAGGGAGAGGAGAGGAGGGAAGAGAGGGAATGGGACTGAAGGGGAGGACTGGCTTGAAACACGAGGAAGGAGAGAAGAGGAGGGAAGAGAGGGAATGGGAGTAAAGAAGAGGACTTCGCTACAGAAGGTCTGCTCGCCAATGCACCAGCTGTGACTGCCGTCCCGGCATGAGGAAAATGTGGGGAGTGGAAGGAAGGCAGGGGAGAAGGTGAAAACGGCACTACTACTAACCCACTTGGAGTGAGCATGCCAATGCACCGGTTGTGGCTGTTATCCATAATCATTGCCTGCGGTGGGGGAAGTGGGAAAGGATGGGGGAAAGGGAGGATAAGAAGGGGGTGGAGGTTAGACCACAAAGGAGAGCCCATGCCCATCATTGGCCGATGACGAGAGGGGTGGCGGATCATCAAGTTTTCACTTGGTCGCCAAAAGTCAGCTGTGGGTCAGCTTAGCTGTGAGTCAGCGTCGGCTGAGTCAGCTCGCCAATGCCCCGCCGGTACCTATCTTCCCAACAACGGAGACCTCCGAACGGCTTCAAACTCTTCGGACCTTTAACTCCCCCAAGTAGATCACTTTTGAGACGTCTCACAAGTAGATCACCGCCTGAAGAGGGTGGAGAGGGTGGGAAGGAGAGGGGGTGTGTCAGAAAGGGGAGAGGGAAGTACCCCACCGCTCTCTTCGCCCCACCGCTCTCTTCGCCCCACCGCTCTCTTCGCCCCACCACTCTCTTCGCCCCACCACTCTCTTCGCCCCACCTCTCTCTTCGCCCCACCTCTCTTACCCCCTCACCTCGTTAATATCCTTGCCGCACCCCGTTACACGGGAGAATTGGGCGGTAGCACGAGTAAATTCTGAGTCGCTCACACATGCTCTGAAATAGTCTCCCTGCCGCACCTTGTTGGGAAGGTAGCACGCTCGGTTTTCTATTCTCCCCACCTCTCTCCTCTCCTCGCCGCACCTTGTTAGGCGGGTAGCACGGGTTGGCACCGCCGCCCACGAACGCGAGGAAGTTGCAGCGAAACAGCATCTCCACCATGCCCACGCCGCGCCCGTCGAAGTCGCGCCGAATCGTCTCCCACAGCGGGTCGCAGCAGAACACGCGGAAGCCGCCGCGCGTGCCGCACGCGAAGCACGTGAAGTCCTGGTTGAACCGCACCGACAGGGCCTCGCCTTCCGCCTCCCGCTCCCTCTCGCGCGAACCGCCGCCGCCCGCCTGCGCGGCCTGCGCGTCGTGCGGCAGTGCGGAGGATTGCAGCGCGGCGCCGTGCGCCAGTGGTTGCTGGAGTGGGTGGTGGGGCTGCGGGGCAGCGGCGGCGGGCGCGGAAACTGCGCCCGCGGAGTCTCGGTCGGCGGACGACTCCGCCTCCCTCTCCGCCATCTGCGGCTGCGCCAGAGGATCCGCGAAAGGCTGCGCGAAAGGTTGCGCGGGGTAGTTTTCCGCTCCGCCAACTGCTTCGGGGGGCTGCGCGGGGAAAGGGGAATCCACTGGCAGGGGGCCGCTATTCATGACGGCGGCAACCCCAAGGTTTGATACGATATGCCCGAAAGGTCTCGCAAGTGGAGGAAAACAGAGGAACCCGCGCGAGTCGCGTGACGGCAGACGGCTGGTGTGGACGGTGATAAGGTGAAATACGCCGAGAGGAGCAGGGAGAGCTACGGATAGCAGCGAATGAAGAGCACGGAAGAAGCGGAGGGAGCAGACAAGCAGGAAGACTGGGTGGAGGAGCAAATTCAGTAGTGCTACGAAAAAAACGAGGAACTGGTGGAAGCAGGGGGGGGACAGGTGTGGTGTGATGGGATTGTCGGATTGTGCCGTTGCAGCTTGCCTTGCCTCCCTGCTGACTGCCATGCTCCGATACAAGGCAATCGTGGATTGCTGGTGCACGTTTCAATATACCACTATACAAGTGCGTTTGTGGGAATGATTACGGATTTCCTATGCTCTTGCACACAAATAGTACTACTCCGAAATCTCATATTCCTTCAGCACATTATTTTTCGCATCACATTGGTCTTGGCATGACATCCAGAACTACCGGTACGCACTATCGAAAATTGCATATCATTCTTCTGGCCACACTCAAATCATCCAAAGCAGAAATGCCAAGCAGATAGTGTTGGAAACAATTGATTTAAGCGCCCCTGTCGTATCGAAACACCAAGTCAGAAACGAAGCAGAACATATCGAAGCATCAGCGAGTCAACCCTCGGAGGTTGAACAACTGCTGGAGGTTACGCGAAAGTCAAATGTCAGCGACCTTTGACCTGACAAGTACAGCGCGACAACAAGGACAAACAACTGACTCGCTATTGAGCAGTTGCCCGAGTCGTCACTGTATCGAACCGCAACAGCAATAGTAAAACGGTTATTAGTTATAACCCTTCATATTCCCTCGTACTCTTATAAAAGCTTGTATCTCTTTGCTGTTAATCAATCTACTTTGCCCTCACATACCAGCGCAAGGTGGTTCACAATGTTTCATTAAAACGCTTCCGCTATTACACCAGTCCTACCAGGAATTTAGTCCTGCAAAGATCCTAAGGGCTTTCTCAGCCCAACATGGTATGAGAGTAAACAGGACAAATTTCACTATCAAGACACCTACAACACCAGAAAGTATGGCTACTCAGAAGGAAAGGAGTTCCTCTAATGGTTCTCCCGGTACCACTTCTACTCCACCTCCTGCCTCTGGCCTACAGACAGAGGAAGTCACAGCAACAAGACCGGCAGCTGGGTCTACCGAAACTCCTGTCAAACTTATATGCTATAGTCTGTTTAGGCTGTAGTGGGGTAGACACTAAGGGGTACAGATTCCTAGGGTTTCATACTTGTACCCAACTCATTTCCTAGTCATTCATTCCTTGTTATTATTTCTCACATGGTTTCAGAGCAGAAACGTTCCTAAGGCCCACCGAACGTTCCGCCTTGCCCTAACTGAATTTTTTTTTTTTAGCTGCCCGAAGCGCGCCTCTGCCTTGTCGCGCGCATCGCGCTTTGCTCCTTTGCGCCCCGTGCGCCTGACCCTGCCGTCGCGGCCCCTGCCCGCAGCCGTCGCAGCCCGCCCCCGTCGCGGCCCCTGCAGCTGCCGTCGCGACCGTCGCGGCCCCTGCAACTGCCGTCGCGGCCCCTGCAACTGCCGTCGCGGCCGTCGCGGCCCTTGCCCCAGTAGTCGCGGCCCTCTACAGTCGCGGCCGTCGCGGCCCGTTGCCGTCGCGGCCCCTGCAGCTGCCGTCGCGGCCGTCGCGGCCCCTACCCCTATCGTCGCAGCCCCTGCAGCAGCCGCCGCGGCCCAGTCGCGGCCCCTGCAGCAGCCGTCGCGGCCCCTGCAGCAGCCGTCGCGGCCCTCTGCTGTCGCGGCCTGTTGCCGTCGCGGCCCCTGCAGCAGCCGCCGCGGCCCCGTCACCTACTGCAGCCGTCGCGGCCCCTGCCCTGTCGACGCGCCCCGGCCCTGCGCCACCAGTAGCGGCCCTCCACTCCCGCCACTGGTAAGCGCACCGCCGCCCCCCCCCCCCTGCGCACTCCCGCACTCGCGCCGCCCTACCGAGCCGCGCTGCCCGGTCGAATCGCGCTGCTACTGCTACTACTGCTGCAGCTACTGCTACTGCTGCCATGGTTACCCCTACTGTCCTTACTTTCGATGCTGAGGGTCGGGCAGTTGATTTTGACGTCTGGGTCGACGATCTGCAGCTGTTTCTGCAGTGTGATTCTAGGGATGGAATCTCACTGTTTGATCTCACGTCCGGCGCCTCTGTTGCCCCTGCTGCTGATGCGGACAGTGCTGTTCGCTCGCAATGGACCACCCTCGATGCTGCTGCCCGTCTTGCTGTGCGTAGTTACCTGCCGTCTACTAAGCGCGCACGCTTTAGTCAGTACAAGAGTGCTAAGACTCTGTACGACGCTGTAGTTGCACGCTACTCTTCCCCTGCTACTGCTGCCCTCAGCCGCCTCATGCTGCTGTACCTGTTCCCTGACCTCGCTGCTTTTGCCACAGTCACTGACCTCAGTACGCACCTCCGCACTAGTGTCACCCGCTACCGCGCTGCGCTTCCTGCTGAGTTCTGCGCTAAGAACCCCCCCCCCATGTACATCACCCTCTACTACCTAGTCACTCGACTCCCTGACACCCTTCGCTCGGTCAGGGACCACTTCCTCTCTATTTGCCCCACCACACTCACCGTTGACCTCCTCGAGGAGCGCCTCCTTGCAGCTGAGAAGAGTATAGTCACTGTAGGAGCCTCTCGTGGTGACCCCCGTACCCCTTTCTTTGAGGGGTGCTCCCCCGTTCCCCTTTTGCCCTCCGTTGCCTCTGCTGCTGCTGTCGACTTTGTTGGCTCCGAGTCGGTCGGCGCTGCGTCTGCTCCTAGCGGGAGGCGCCGCAACGGCAAGGGCAAGGGGAGCAAGGGCGCTGGAGGAGGTGGCGGGGGAGGCGGTACTGGCGGTGGAGGCGGAGGAGGGGGTGGGGGTGGGGGTGGTGGCAGAGGTGGGGGCTTCGGTGGCAGCGGTGGAGGTGGAGGCAGAGGCGGCGGTGGTGGCGGTGGTGGTGGCGGTTTGGGTGGAGGCGGCGGAGGCGGCGGCGGCGGAGGTGGAGCTGGTCAAGGCGGAGCTGTGCAGCGGGGACCCCAGCACCAGCCACGCTCTCGTGAGACCCTGTCGCCCCAGCAGCTTCGTGAGTGGTACGCGGCACGCCAGGAGCCTGGGGGTGTTGGTCCCTGTGCCTACGTCCTGCGCACCGGCGACCGCACTGGAGAGCAGTGTGGCGGCCTGCACGCCACCCAGCGCTGCTTCGGCCGCCTGACAGACGCCTGGCGTACCCAGTTCCCTGGCGCTACTGAGATCCCTCGCTGGGGTGATCTGCTCAAGTCGGGTGTAGCTATCTTTGATCTTGATTTTGATGCTATCCTTGCTGCCATGTATGCTGTGTCTATTAGTGTTGATGGTGACTGTTGCGTGTGTGTTCCGCCTGACCCGGGCATTGAGGCTGCTACTCTAGGTGCTAGTGAGTCTGCTGCTCCAGGTGCTGGTGAGTTTGCTCTCTCAGGTACGGCGTCGGCACAGGTTTTGCACACCTTCACCCTCGACTCGGGTGCTCCCCGCTCCTTCTTTCGAGACCGCACCACTCTCACGCCGCTCAGTCGGCCGGTTGCAGTCTCCCTGGCAAACCCCTCTGGGGGTCCTGTCCTTGCCCACTCCTCCACTGTCCCACCGTGCCCGGCGGCCCCGTCCGGCTCCCTGTGCGGTCTCTACCTCCCCTCGTTCTCTACGAACTTGGTGAGTGGTGCTGACCTTCAGGATGGAGGGGTTGACCAGTTCACTCCTGCGCATCAGCGAGTGACCCACTGCACGTGTGCTCGGACGGGCCGCCACTTGGCCACGTTTACACGTCGGCCGGGGTCGAGCCTGTACACACTGACCACAGAGTCTCCTCCGGTTGCTGCGTCTGGTCAGGTAGCTGCGTCGAGTCAGGTGTTTGCTGCAGCGTCTCGGTCAGGTCCTGAGTCTGCCCCCTGCTCGTGTCGCCTCTTGTCCCACCAGACCCTCCTCTGGCACCACCGCCTTGGTCACCCCTCCTTGCCTCATCTCCGAGGCATGGCCTCCCGTGTCCTTGTCTCTGGTCTCCCCCGGTCCCTCCCTCCCCTTCCTCCGGGGCCTGCCCCTACCTGCGTTCCCTACGTCGAGGGGCGGCAGCGCGCCGCTCCTCACTCCTCCGAGTTTCCTCCGACAGAGGCTCCACTACAAACTCTCCACATGGACGTGTGGGTCCCAGCCCGCGTCCGTGGACAGGGTCACGAGCGTTACTTCCTGCTGGTGGTTGACGACTTCTCGCGTTACACCTCAGTCTTCCCCTTGCGCCGCAAGGATGAGGTCACTGAGGTGTTGATCGACTGGATCCGCGTTGCTCGTCTCCAGCTTAGAGAGCGTTTCGGCTCGGACTTTCCTGTTCTGCGTCTGCACTCCGACAGAGGTGGAGAGTTTTCCTCCGACCTTCTGCGAGCCTTCTGTCGTGCGGAGGGCATCCGCCAGACGTTCACGCTTCCGGCCTCTCCACAGCAAAATGGGATTGCTGAGCGCCGCATTGGCATGGTCATGGATGTCGCTCGTACGTCCATGATCCATGCGGCTGCTCCCCATTTTCTGTGGCCGTTCGCGGTTCAGTACGCGGCGCATCAGATCAACCTTCAGCTCCGGGTCTCCATGCCGGAGACCTCCCCTACTCTGCGGTGGACGGGGAAGGTTGGCGATGCGTCTGCGTTCCGTGTCCGGGGATCTCGAGCTTTCGTCCGTGACTTGTCTGGGGACAAGCTGTCCTCTCGCGCTGTTCCCTGCGTCTTCCTTGGCTTCCCCCCTGACGCGCCTGGTTGGCAGTTTTACCACCCCACCTCGCGCCGTGTTCTGTCCTCTCAGGACGTCACGTTTGACGAGTCGGTTCATTACTACCGTCTCTTCCCCTACCGCACTGCCCCCCTCCCCCCCCCGCCGCTCCTCCTTGCGCCAGGTCCTCCCCCGGT